CTTTGTACCCTGTAAATTCATTGCCATATCCCACCCTTCAAACCGAAACACAGCCATACAAACACAACTGCTTCACGGTAGAAACACGAATGGGACAGAGGTGCCAAAGCAAACTTTTGTATAAAGACTGTTACTAGCATTTCATAGAAAACCACAATTCATGTTCAAATCCTGACCGATTTATATTTATTATGGTATATCTATCGAGCTTCTTTTAGGAGAATAAATTTGTCACACTTCTGTTATAAGTACAGGGAAAAATCTTTTCAGACACAAATGTCAATTTTTTTCTGTCTGATTTATATTTTTTTTCTTATAACAAAATCCCAGCTGAAAACGAAGTTTCTATAGTCGTTAGAGCTAAGTCGGCTTTAAATCCCCTTTATGAAAGACCAATGTAGATTTAGTACCTTTGGCTGTGTGCCTGTCTGAAGTATCATAGCTTCCAAACGAATGGATCGAATGAAATCGATTTTTTTTTAAGTATGATATATTTATTTTCTTTCTAATTGCATTGGGTTGGCTGGAAGAGATCTCTTGGGATTGTAACGGATTTTTAATCCTTATTAATGTTATAAATGTAACAGTGGGTTTGTTTGTTTGTTACCTTTTAACGCTTTAATGACTTAACTAAGCCCTATAATATCTAACTAATATTAAGAAAATTTTTCCTAAACGATGTAAGAGACATTTGAAAAAATATCTTAACAATAGAAGTAATAGAAGTTATAAAAAAATATTATTTCATACCTATTACAAATGATTAATATGGAGTCTCCTTACTATAATTACTTAATACTGGCTCAATTAGTAGCCGTCATTAATTATCTATTAGATCTCGACCTATCCACTTGTCCACATTCTGGAGATAGTAGAATTAATGCGCCTCATTAATCTATTATGTATTATGATTTATTTTGTGTTCTTATTTTTTTTTATGCAACATAGAATGACAAACAAGCTGACGACCCACTTGATGGAAAGTTGTAACCGTCGCCTAAAGACTTGAACGGTACCATGGGCATAACAGAGTATACTGGGCGGAAAGGGATTGTTAGCGATGGGGTCTAACAGCCACAATGCTAGCAATGTTACTAATCAGGTCGACCTCCACGTGGTTCCCCTTGGAAACCATCGTGGTTACTTCTCGTGGAATTTTTCACGATGGGCTAACTGATCTGTTTACATCGTCTATTACTATATCTATTACTGGTGCCCCGCCAGCGTATACCATTAGCACAGGCGGGGTTACTACTACATTATCACCCATTAAAAAAAAAAAAGTTCCATTTTGCCCATAATACCCCCCATGCATTGCCATTCCTGAGGACTACGGTGTTATTCCTTTGCACCCTGTAAATTCACTGTCATATCCCACCCTTCAAACCGAAACACAGCCATGCAAACACAACTGCTTCACGGTAGAAACACGAAGATGATTTATGATTGATGTCAGGAAAGTAACCGGTCCCAAAACTAAAAGACAAAACCTTGGGTAATGCAGATAAAAACATATTGCGCCTACCTCAAATTTACATAATTGGAACAATGGCAGAAAGATGATGATGTTATTAGGGTTTATAAAGGTTACGTTATCTGAACATGTTTGTAAATAAGTTAGATAGATACCAGAGGGAGCCTTTGTACAAAAGTCGATTGCTTGGGTATCTCTGTCCCATTCGTGTTTAAACCGTGAAGCAGTTGTGTTTGCATGGCTGTGTTTCAGTTTGAAGGGTATGATATGGTGTGAATTTACAGAGAAATAACACCTGAGTCCTCAAGAATGGCAACGCATGGGGGGTATCATGGGCGAAACAGTATACTCTGTCATGATACTGCTCATGTCTATAGGCGACGGTTACCACTTTCTATCAGGTGGGCCGTCAGCTTGTTTGCCATTCTAAGTTGTATAAAAAAAAAGATAGTCCACTCCTGAGAATGTTTACCAAGAGGACTAAAGCATTATTAGTAATTAAGTATTAACATAGTTTTTAAGTACACTTAGTAACAAAAATGGACTAAAAATCATCGTGACATTCGAAAATTACCTATAGAAGTTTGACAGTTAGGTTCCTTATAGGAAGTTGACTTTAGAGACCTAGTAGACCTCTAAAATTAGAAAAGTCTTCCAGAAATTCCCAGAGGGAGTCGCGGCAACACATCTAGCCCGAACAAAGTCGACTAACACAATTACAAAAGTGGAACGAAGACTGTGGAGGATATAAACGAAAATTATCCGCAAATTGTTGATAACATGTGACGGTATGTCAACGTTAAGTTATAATGGATTAACGAGATTAGGAAGTTATAACGCGTGTATACAAATAATCTCTCCAAAGTACAGGTCGCTTGGACAACCACGAGTGTATCTGCAGACAGAAACATTAACTTGGGGATGTCATTAAGGAAAAACTGCAGATATATCGGATTTATTATTTAATATAATAAATATATTGCTTTAAAAGTATAGCGCCATCTATTACGGAAGTTAGCAAACTATATTTTATTTATTGAATGAGACGAATATATCTTCTAAATATCTTCAACGAGACGCTTGAACTGCCGGTATCTCTGAATAGTATAAAACAAAGTCGCTTCCCTGTCATCGGTACACTTAGATCTTTAAAACTACGCAAATGGATCTTATAATTTTAATTCAATGGAAGAGATCTCTTCCAGAGATTGGCCCACCCAAGCTAACAAGTTGTTTAATTAATCACTGTATTTTTTTACAAGCGCAATAAAGATTTGGTTTTTTGACATTTTCTTCATTCGTACATCCGTCCAAAACGAGGACAGGCAGTTAATTAATAAAAAAAACAACAATATACGAAATAGGTTTTTTTTATTAATGGATGATTAATGGAATGGTAACCCCGCCCGCGCTATCGGTATACGCTGACGGGGCACCAGTGAGAGGTGATAGGTGAATAATGAAAAAAGGCAGGTCAGTCAGCCCATCGTGATGAATACACATGGAACTCAGCACGATGGTTTCCAGGGGGAACCGCGTGGAGGTCGACCTGACAGGGTATATTGCTAGCAATGGGACTGGTAGCCCGCATTACTAACGATCCCTTCCCCCCTAATACGAAATAGGTTAACGACATTTACAGTCTACATTGTCTATTATAGATTTATCAATAAATCTAACTACTTACAAAGTTATTTGAACTTTGTCTAATTCCCTTCAAGCGAGATTCCAATAAGCCATCACCACGGGCACAACTTTAAATGAAGCAAACCAGCGTAATCTTATTTACAAAGTCAGAAGACATATTAAAATATATTTAGGTGTTTGAGACAACATTTCGATACGTTTTATTACAGAACTAGTTATATAGTGCGGTTTCGATTGTGTGAAATAGGATAAAGAGTAATCAATGTATTAATCTAGGATATAGTACATCTATATAAAAAAAATATCTCACCCGTTCACGAGTATGATGAGCCAGCCATCGTTGTGCCCACCATATTATAGTCTAATGGCCCGGCACCGGGGGGAAAGGGATTGTTAGTAGTAGGGTCTGGTCAGGTCGACCTCCACGCGGTTCCCCCTGGAAACCATCTGGGTTAATTCTAGTGGAATTCGTCACGATGGGCTAACTGACCTGCCTTTTCATCCTCACTTGTCATCCCTCACTGGTGCCCCGCCAGCGTATACCGATAGCGCAGGCGGGGTTACCATTCCATTATCACTCATTAAAAAAAAATGGCCCGGCACCAATTAGGACATTGTAGTAAGCACAACTTGATTTCAAGAGACGCGATTACGTCAAAGACGTATTTAAGACACTAACAAAACCAGAGATGCGTGCGATGATGGCCTTTTAAAATGTTATTATTAGTTCAAAAATTCGCCACCGTGCATATCGTAAAGGGTCTTAAAATAGCCGCCATGCAGAATTAGTTGAAAAGTTCACCGCTGGCCTGTTCTGGTGACCCCTGTGGGGTCACAGTCATTCGGGTCACGTCGCGGTGGAGTCACGGTTGGATCAGACAACGCGCCCCGCCGCACTAATTGAATACTGGACAGGCATTAGGGTAACAGGGGCTGGGAACCAATTAGGGGATAAAAAAAGATAGATACAAAGGGGTTAATTACAGAACGTGAATTTTATGTTTAAAAATTTAAACGTAAAAAAATATAATGAATGTGTTTTTTAAATGTAAATGAATGCTTTAAAAGCTTTCATATTAATTGTGCATTTTAGTGTGAAAATACTTTATTCTTTAATTTATACCTTTATATGTACACTTTATTATGTATATGGCATTGCTCGCGTGAGATGAAAGAGTAAGAATGAAAAGCTCCAAGATTATGCAGAGTGTCAAACAGCAAGTGAAGTCGATCCGGCTCGAAGGACCAAATGAAGACGATTCGATCCGAGACCAAACTATACGAATCGGATTGTGTACTAATAGCGTTGTGATGGGAGTGGGCGATGGCCACAGGAAATAATACTACGACGATTTCTTACTAGATTTATTTCGCCGCTATGATTGTTCGACATATATCGCCTTACTTATATTCGCTCTTACGTCTGTTCTTTCTTGTTTCTTTCTATTCTTACAATTTCCAGTAATGTAGGCAACGCATGGGGGGTATCATGGGCGAAACATTATTCTCTGTTATGTCCATGGTACTGCTCATGTCTATAGGCGACGGTTACCACTTCCCATCAGGTGGACCGTCAGCTTGTATGCCATTCTAAGTTGTATAAAAAAAAATTAGACATTAGAAGTTAATTTTTTTTATATTACTAAGGTACTTTTTTGTACTACTGGTATATAAGCATATAGTCCACCTGATACTAAGCAGTTATCGTAGTCTATGAACGCCTGCAATACCAAGGGCATTACGCGCGCGTTGCCGATCCTGAAGAAACCTCTTTACCTCGTTTTTGAAGAACCCCATGCTGTAGTCTATTGGAAAAAGCAATTATTCATTTGTTTTTAATTCTCATGATGTTTTATAGAAATAGATTATAGCAGCTTACTTGGAAGCTATTGTAAGCGTTACTGATGCTGCACTCTGCGAAGGTGGCGTCCTCTAGTTCATACTCGTCCCATAGTTGGCTCTGAAACAAAACACACAGGATTATTAAAATAAGATGGAAACTGTCTTAGATTATGACTTCTAGTTTTTTTTTAAATGAAAAAAAAAGAACAATTTTTCTATGGATGAAAATGGAATGTTGCTAACGATAAGGATATAGTGGGATCAGTTGGACCATCGTGACGATTCTACTATAAGAAATAACATTAAATTTGGGTTTTTTTAGAGTACAATTTTATATTATTAAATCGGTTATGACAATTGTCTATGGTTATATATAGATGCTTATATTTTTTTAAAAAGATACCTTACATCATATCTATATAAAAAAAATTATCGATGATTTCCCGCCAAAACTTCGGGCGTGCTGGCATAAATTAAAAAATTAAAAATAAATTGTACGAGGATTTTATATTTCCAAGTTCCTAATTTGAATTATAAATGTTCGAAGGCATCGCGAGTATAAGAATGATGTGTGAATAAATCGAATGAAACATCAGAGGTTTCTCATTTTTCATTCCATTTATTTACACATTGCCTTCCATTCATCCACGAATTCCTAACATCGGTGGTAATATTTTTACATACTGCAAAGCTTTCAATACCCAGTTGTTCGCCATTCGTTCTATTTTAAGCAAAAACATCGCACATTTCCGTGGCATTTGATTTTCCGGAATGGCCGTGACAATGCGTGTTTGAAATACGTTCGTTGTTTTACAGACAGACATACAATATCCGTCTGTCGTTCAATGTGTTTTATGTCTTGAATGTAATATGTTGTATTGGGACATAAATTGGAAACCAATGTATACTAGCTGGTTACTAACTTTTCCTGTAATTTTGTCAGCATTTTTTTTTTATTTTTATTATTGGTAACTCTTTATTCTCATAATTGCCAGTACTAAGTTTAGATATTTTGCCATTTTTGTTGCGGTCAATGGATGAAAATGAAATGGCAATCCTGCCTACACTTTCGGTATACGCTGAAGATATACCTGTAGGGACGATGATGCAAAGTTAGGCCAGTTTGCCCATCTGATTGAATTCACTACGAATTGGCTCGTTTCCATTGATAACCGCGTAGAGGTCGACTTGCCAGGGTACATTGTATGCAATGCGTTTACTAAATCAAATTACTTTCCTTCCTCCCATGAATTATGGTTACTTTTTTTTTTTATGCAACTTAGAATGGCAAACAAGCTGACGGCTCACCTGATGGAAAGTGGTAACCGTCGCCTATAGACATGAGCAGTACCATGGACATAACAGAGTATACTGTTTCGCCCATGATACCCCCCATGCGTTGCCATTCCTGAGGACTCAGGTGTTATTCCTCTGTACCCAGTAAATTCACTTTTTATTTCATTCTTGCAAGCAAAGTCATGAGATATAGCTAGTACAGAAGTATGATAATTTGTGCATTAATTTTAAGGATTACATATCATTAAGTACATGACTTATCTAAGGACCGCAATTTTGCGACAGCCCTGAGTCCTACTATACGTGGGTTCGTTTTGAGGTTCATTTATCATGTGTAACTCATTCCGGCCGACCCAAATATTCCCGGGCGTGCAACTCAGCTAGGGCTGTCACGACTTAATAACAATGTTATACGTTCTTTTAATATAATAAATGCGAAAACTTATAACGCTTGATGGATGGATGTTTGTTACTCGTTAACGCATAAACTACTGAACGAGTTTAAATGAAATTCGGTACACGGATAGGTTATTTTTTAAATTAGCGCATATTGTATGTTGTATTTTTTTTAATGGGTGATAATGGTATGGTAACCCCGTCTGCGCTAAGGGGATACGTTGGCGGAGCACCAGTGAAGGGTGATAGATGAGAATGAAAACAGGCCGGTCAGTCCATCATGATGAATTCATCAGGAATTAACCATGGTAGTTTCCAGGGAGAACCGCGAGGAAGTCAGGTCGACTTGGTTGGGTATATTGCTAGCAATGGGATTCTCAGTCTCCATTACTAACAATCCCTTTCGTCCCCTGTGCTCAGGGTTGTTACTTGTGCTTTTCCTGCGAAATCTTTAGTTCAATACTGCGCAATATATTTTAAGAAACTCCAATCCAAAGTTATACCTCATAATGTAAGACAATATTTGATGTTTATAAACCAATCGGCGGACTCTCGAACAAACAAGATGATTGCTTGTTTGTATTTATATGGAACAAATGAATAAAATATCTCGCAATATATTTAATTTCAGATTGAAAACAATTGGAACTTTCTTTTTTAATTTGTTTTGTTTTCCATTAGTTGACAAGTTCATACAAATATTAATATATAATATATTAATGGTGTAATTATCATATAGTTCATGTACTACCTAGTATCTATATTTTGTAATATTTTTTTATACAACTTAGAATAGCAAACAAGCTGACAGCCCACCTGATGGAAAGTGGTAACCGTCGCCTATAGACATGAGCAGTACCATGGACATAACAGAGTATACTGTTTCGCCCATGATACTCCCCATGCGTTGTCATTCCTGAGGACTCAGGTGTTATTCCTCTGTAACCTGTAAATTCACGCCATATCCCACCCTTCAAAAATAAAGCCATGCAAACACAACTGCTTTACGGTTGAAACACGAATTAGACAGAGGTACCCAAGCAAACGACTTTTGTACAAAGTCTCCCTCTGGTAAATGTTTACAAGTATATGTGTATACATATACTTGTAAACATTACATTTGTATGCAGTAACATTGTGTGCACGTAGACACGAGCGCATTCACGCACGCACGCACGCGTCGTGTGCCCCTAGCCTTTTCTATGCCAGGATCACACGACCAAATGATCTATTATAAAATATAAATAAATATTATATTAACATGTATTTGCCATCGTTGGTTGTACACGTGCCATTAACATATGCAGTTACATTTCGTCCCTTCTTGAATATGAATAAAACATGAACACAGTACGTGCGACCAACTTCTATTCCAACATTTCAATCCGAAATGTTTTTACTTTTATATTCCGTTGAGTAAATGGACAGTGACAGGTTTGCACGTATATGTAGGTAGGTACATATGAGATCGAGAGTAGCTCAGTAGAATAGAGCCACATGCTTACAACGGTGGTATGACTCAATGGAAAAGGTCTAATAGATTGGCAGAGTAGTCAGTCTAAATTCCTTCAAAAATAAACTGAATGTAAATAAAACCTAACCTTATTCTGAGGGGGAGGGAGGTTATTAGTAATGCGAACTACCAGTCTCACTGCTAGCAATATACCCTGTCAAGTCGAGCTCCAGTTACCCCTAGGAATTATCGTATTGTATTCCAGATGTATTCATCACGATGGGTTAACTGACCTGTTTTTTTATTCTCATCTGTCATCCCTCACTGGTGCCCCGCCAGAGTGTACCGTTAGCGCATGCAATGGAGTTACAATTCCATTATTATTCTTAAAAAAAAAAAAACCTAATTATAAATCTCATTAATGTAATTAAAAAGTCGACATAATTATTAATATTTCGTAATTACACATTTTAATATAATAACTACCGGTTTAACTACACAATTTGGTCGAGAATGTTCTAGACTAGTCTAGATGTCTGTACGAACTGTCGATATGTTTGAATATTTTTTTTTTATTTTTTTTAGCGTATAATATAAACTTCTTTAAGATATTTGATTGTAGAACAACATAGATATTTGTATATACCTCAAAAATGTCTACTTACTCCAATCTATAGACAGATAATATTTTATCAAAATTGTCCCATCAGCCTTATTATAATCGCCATAAAAACGGTGACAAAGGACTCCGCTCCGACCAACGATTTGTTCAATTTAGTGAAACGTCCAATCTTCCATTAATACCTTACAGCCTTGCTTTTATTCTATTATTTCGGTTGGCATTATATACATATATCATAGAATTAACCACGCCGTCCTTTCCAGTGGGTGGCGTAAGAGGCATTCGTCTTTCAACCGTGAAGCAGTTGTGTTTGCATGGCTGTGTTTCGGTTTGAAGGGTGGGATATGGCGTGAATTTACTGGGTACAGAGGAATAACACCTGAGTCCTCAGGAATGGCAACGCATGGGGGGTATCATGGGCGAAACAGTATACTCTGTTATGTCCATGGTACTGCTCATGTCTATAGGCGACGGTTATCACTTTCCATCAGGTGGGCCGTCAGCTTGTTTGCCATTCTAAGTTGTATAAAAAAAAAAAGAGGCGACTAAGGGAGCTTATGGTAGAGAGATGGGCAGCAGCGTCCCTCTGAAAATATCTGTAAAAGTCTAATTGCGGTTGTCAACCCGCCTGTCAAGCGTGGCTACTACTGGCATAGCCCCCCTTATGGGAATTTGGATTTTGCGAAATCGAAACATCGAAATATGCGAATAGCGAAATCTTTGTTCTAAAGACCAATAAAAAAGAAAAACTAAAAATCTAAATAGATTTAAGGATAAATTATTATAAATTAAGTTTAAAGTGATTCATAATACAGTAACTTCGCTACACTATCATATTACAATATTAAGAGATAGCTTTAGAGACGGCCTCTCAGAGTCAGGCCCATTACTTCTTCTAACTAATAAGATTTATTCGCCGTGTGGTCCCGGCTTAGAATAGGCCACTCCTTCCTTTCACGTGGATATCATAAGAGACGACTAAGCGAAGGCGAGGGATGGGTAGCAGCATCCCTCTTAAAATATCTCCAAAGCCTAACTGCAGTTGCCAACCCGCCTGCCAAGCGTGGCAATTACTGGCAAAACCCTTCAAGGGGGAGGCTTACGTTCAGCAGTGGATAGTTAAAGGCTGATATGATGATTAAGATTTATCATTATCAACACGTAAATAATAATGTGAACGTGTTTTTGAATAAATGAATGAAAACCCTTGAAAATGAAGAATAACTTCCATTCAATTATATTGTTCAATTCAAGCATTTCTTGAAGGAAACAATAAGAGTTATCATCATAGAGATATCTATTATAGATCTGTATCATTATTCATATGACAAAGATTAACAATATGTTTTTT